GGGCTTGTTCGTCCTCACACATTTACAGGAATCACCATCAAACTATTCATCGTACGATGCCAATATACCACAGCTCATGGAAGTGCTGGGCCTGGCAAATCGTTCCCTCACGCGAACACTGATAGCATTCATGAAGCGCGCTGTCAGTCTCACTTTTGTCCGACGGATCCCTTTGGCCCGCCTACTTGAGCGCGTACAGACCGTTGTCTATAAACTCTTGGCAAATGTCTACCACCTTCTGGGGGAAGCAATTCTTCTGCTTCGTTCGGCGGCAGATGCAGTACAGCTCGGCCCTGGGGACGTACCATTCAAATACCTGGATGTCTCCCTCATTGATAGACTAAAGACCTTCCGTAGTCGCTGTAGGATGCTCAAGGATAGCCTCCCTGACGTCGAGTCCGCCTTTGACAGTGGACGCGCAGATCTAGAGGTGGAGCTTAAATTCCTTGGTTTCCATCACGTCTCGGGCATGCTGTATTTATTGCCAGGTTCACTTGGTACCCATTCAACCATCATCACTGATCTTCCTGCGGTCTTTTCTGACATGAAACAATGTTCCCGTGAAATTGTCACTGCCGTGAATGCTTTTGAGCAGCGCGTGATCAGGTTTCGGGATTGTTTTGGGGATGCATCGTGGGTGAAGAGAATGGTCGGAAATTCAATTTTGGTGAAGGGGATGATAGGCGTAATGTGTTCCATTGTCGATGAACAATTTTATCTCTCTAACAAACTTTACGATGTATCTATGTAGTATGGAGCCAAGTGGTGTACGTAGAGAAACCTTGTGAGTGAGTACATTACTTAGACAACTGCTGTACTCATGCTTTTTCGCAGCTTGTACGATTTATGACATACCATTTTCCTGGTTCCCATGTCGCATTGCAGGTATGCGTGCAGGTTCAATGCGGCTGGATGCATGTTGCTTCAGAAATGCTATTGGTTGACTTGATGTCTTAAATGCTCAACATCGCGCCGCTGTTTCCTTTGACTTCAGAACCGGACATCTGCCTAACCTGACTCTTTTCAATTGCCAGACGATGTCATCTTCCCCTGCTGATGCATTCTTGTGCCATGCATTTAACGAACAGATTGACAGCAGTTCTTCACCGGTACTTCTCTATGATCTGAAAAGGACGAACAGGACTTCCCCAATGAAGATGCGTTACGGTCGGCGTTATTACTTGTGCATGCCTTTTGTTGCTTAGAAGACAGTGCTGGATCGCTGAAACATGTCTTTTATTCGGATCTTACCAACCAGTTCTCTGTGATGTTCAAAGCCTATAGTAATAAGGTTCGATTGAGCCAATTTGCTCGGTGAGTACTGAGTGCCAACGAATTGAATCGTTCTGAAATGCGCTGTTCGCGCTACAGCGTTTGCGTGAGAGAACGATCTGTCATGCTCAGAGCTTCCATGAGCTGCGGGATATTGGCATTGTGAAGTGAATGGCTTGAAGGCGATTCCTGAGGCATATGAGCGTCAGCAGACCAGTGCAAGTTCAGAGAATGTACATTCTTTCCGTCAATATTATCTTTGTCGGTATCCAGGAGTCCAGCCGGCTGGTCTGCATCCTATAGATTTTAACGCCCACAGTCTGGATAAGGAGGACGAACATACTAGTAGAAGTTCCTTCATTTGGTACCGGTAACAGCCTGAAAGCAACAAAGCCGCATGTCCTCAACTTCGCGTCGGTCCGAACAGTCCGATTCACAATAAAATCAAGTTTTCCCACGCGACGCGTCTGGGATAATATTTCAAAGTCCGAATCCAGATCTGCCTGTTGGCATCTACCACCACCATCAACACGGTCTGGCCTACGAACCTATGACTTCGTCCCGCAGAGTACGTTCCACTTGCAGTGCATGGTAAGTCAATCTTGGTAATCTTGTGGCAGAACTTCTCACTAAAATCCCTTCTGCAGGAACTAAATAATGCTCGGTCGACTCTTGAGTTATAAGGCAAAGCAACCTGAAGGGTCGTTTGTCGCCAATGCATTATAGCGACGCAGAGCTTAACACTTGAGACGATGGCGAAGGAAACTGGTAGTTCGTGAGTGATTCATTCGTTTTCGCATGTTTGCAACCTCATCATTTGTTCGATACAGCTAGGTCAAAGTCACCCAACTCCATCAAATAATTCGTGGTTTTCCATTCTATGTGAGCGAGAAATACGACTCTGCAACGACAAAGAGAATTGAATGTGACTGGTGGAATCTGTCAGGCGGCGAGGTAGTTAAGGTCAGAGCATTTCCCGCGACCTTACATAACTAACACTGTAACAGGTATTCTGGTCTAAGACAAACTACCCGGTTAAACCCTTTACTATCGATAACGAAGGAGGTGAAGGAAGAGACGATAAAGGGGGGCGAAAACACCAGCAGGTACGTAATTTTCAAGGTTGTAGTGAGATCAACACTCATCTGTTTGTTCACCATGGTAGTGTCGTATCCTATCCATGTCTTCCCCGACAACAGGTTTTTGCTTTCTTGACCGGCAGCCCGCTCATTCCTGTCGACCCCGGGTCATATACCGGAGTGATGCTACCCACTTGCTGTGCCTCTTCGACAAGCACCGGTTTCACTACACAATCCAGCAGCGCTTTCTTTTCGTTTTCATACACGGACATGCCATGATGGCCAAGCTGCGCATCGTGGTCATCCCCCGCGAATCCCTGTGCCCCACTCTAGTCTCAGCTTTTGGAACGTTAGTACCAAAAATCTAGCCATGATAACGCATTCTGGTGGCGAAAAATACTGCCATGGTGACGAGACCACGTACGGTCGTCGCTGGTAGATGAGGGGCGCCCTACATCATAGCCTCGACGACATCGCACTGGAGGAAATGCACCGAACGAATGTCATACTCCTGTCATAGTGAAGCATAATATGGGGCCGCTCCCCTTTATACAGCTCGGGCTGCTTGTCACATTCGGCTCGCATTCTCCTTGTCATATTCTTCCCTCGCGCAAGTTCCGAAGATAAGGGAATTTTTTCACTATAGTATTCGCTGGCAAGATCACAGAGTCCGACGACGCAGTGTTGTGATTGCAATTGCGATACCGAACTTCTGTGATCCTCATTCCACCAATAGTAGGACGGATTGGGTTGCTATCACGCTCGCGCTCTGATCTGCAATGACAGAGCATTTCGTCTGATATTTAGGCATGTCAGCATTCTCGGATTATGGGTTGTGACCCTAACCCCACTTTGCCTAGGGTTAAAGGTCGAGTCTACAGCTGAACAGTGCTGCTCTCGACGTCTACGGCCACCGCCCTTTTATGTGTTAGCACTTACACGCGAAAGTGCTCAAAGACAGTTCTTCCAGAGTTAGTCCGTTGTCTTTGTCTGTTGAACGTAGCTGATACATGATTGTAGTGATGGTCGAGCCAGCTACATCGAATAAATATCTCGACACCTACGCATAGGCGCGACCTGTGCGCCGTACGCTGCTTTATGCGACGAGTAGTTCCCATGCATCGCCTTCTATGGCGCGGAGTCCCATAAAGCGCGTCTTTCCCTTCAAATACGCCAGTCTGGGCTCACGAACACCTTGCTCCGCATAGCCCAACATGCTGGGACAGCTGGTGCAAAGTGCTTGGTTTTCGAGAAGCGATGGCGACGGCGACCTCATGGGGTCGCGTATCTGTAGAGCATGCCACATCGTCTCGACAACATCAGCGACCGTAACCCACTCTCGATCACCCGACCTCTGAATGACTATGGGCCATGGAAGCTTTGGGTGGACAATAGCCAGTGACGGAAGGGGCGGGTTGGTTGCCACCTCGTTCACGCAGCCTTCGTGACCAAGAACGCGTACGCTCGACAGACTGCGAGCGAAGTCTAGCTCCATTATCTTCTCTCCTCGACTTGGCCGTAACAGTGGATGGATTATTATCGGGGTATCGCTCTCTGTTTGGGACGGCAGCGAGATGTGACGATGGCGCGGTTTGCCAAGGACGGGCGGCGAGGGCGACGGGACGTATTCGCGTACATATCCCATATATGACGCGTCGGGATTGGATACATAATGGCGGCGAACAGGGACCGTCGTGGTCAGCTGGGCGCTACCATAGACAGGCATAACGAGAGACGCCCTCGACGGGGTGGAGAACGCCGTTGGTGGTGATGAATATAGCTCTGGGGGCTCTCTACCCCGCTGCGTTGTCATCGTTGCTCCTTGGATGGGCATCGTCTTCGTCCCGGTGTCATTAATGGAACAAACAGCAAAAAGACGACCTTACCGATGAATAGAGAGGCTTAGGTTTACTCGAACCAATGCGGACGTGGAAGGAGGGAGGTGTGGAAGGGCGAGAGCGGGTGATGGTAGCGGTTTGAGGGAGAGTTGTGAGAGCACGGGGAAGGATGGGGCTGCTTTATATACGGTATGTCCCCCCTCCAGATATTGAATGCAAACCTAACCTCACTTTTCTTAGGGTTAAGGTTCCGCTTACATTAAATTTAGCCGGGAGCGTGTATATCATCGTCGTACCTTTCAAGATGCTCTTACCTGCAATTCCAGCTTCTTTCCTGTAAAGAAGTGTCTCCTTGAGTTGTGATTCAAGCCTCCATCCTCGCTGCTTGTTACCCACCCTGCTCTTAAACCATGGCTCAGACTACCAAGCCATTATCGTACAAAACTGGTTCTACCCGTCGGGCGGGTGGCGGATTTCAAAACACTGGATATCGAAGGAAGACGACAGTGGTGTCGCGGAGCACTCTTTGCCCTGTCGACTGCGAAAGGCGGCGATGACTGATACGTGACTGAGTCAACGTCACGAATATTCTCCCAAAGGAAGCAGGTTTCCCCGACGTTCACTTGCCCGTCCTCCCAGGCTGAAGTTCCAGCGGGATGGCATGGTTACGGAATGGCGGCTAGCCATGTGTCTCGCGTGATATACATCAGTTATCGTGCAACTCTTGAACTGAATCTCCGCGAAGTGGTCGTATTATCTCAGCCTCTACCGTTTCCGTGGTGTAGTTTCACACTGACCAATATTTTTATGAGCCCGCCTAGCTCAATCGGATAGAGCGTCAGACTCTTATGATGTCATTCATGAGTTTGTCAATCTGAAGGCTGCGAGTTCGACCCTCGCGGTGGGCTAATTACATTTTACCTACGCTTTATTCGATGCCATATTGCTACTAGCTAGTACTACAAGTAACAAGGTTGCTCAATGCTAAGTGCTACTATTACTATAATAAACAGTGAACACTGAACAGTGAATAGTGAGTGAAGTTGCGCACGAACCCCCCACAGTGGTATTCTATCCTTTTTTACCGAAGCGACGTGGGCCCCGAGGGAACCGGGAGAATTTCGCGAATGGAGTGGAGTGACCACGGGCAGCTCGTCGAGTCAGTGGGCACTGAGCACTGGAGTATTCTTAGGTTCTAAATTTTTCTTCTACATGATATGACATATATCCGCATTCTCTGTGTTGTAACGCTCCACTCACTTCCTTTCCTCGAATATCATATATAGGGACGCGCAAATGACTAAGTACTTTACACGGAATGGCTGCAGACTTTGGATGTACTAAGCTCAAGTACCGCCACGGTGAAACCCCCAGCAAGGACACAACATTTTCATTTCTATTCGCTGAAATGTGATAAAAACATTCTTTATAGTACGTGTAAGAAATGACGTGCTTGAGTTCCAGAGCGATATGATAAGAAATGGATAAGATATAAGCCAGGAACGGTGGGACGGCGCTAAAAAATGGTGACTGGGGAAGGTAAAGCTAGCAGTTATTTGGCACATCACAGGGGACTGCGTTAGCCAATTTTACTCTCTACGGTCGCAATCATGCATCACTTCCGAACCCCTGGAGTCGAAGTCTCCGGATCTCTCAGCAACAGGTGCATCAGTTATAACTTGTAGTACTACATGTCTTTGACGAGAAGTTGTACTGTTATGTAAGTGTTGCTCATTTTTCCCTCGTAATTGACGTCACTGACCAGTTGCATAGGCAAAGACCGTGGTAATGGAAGGCGCAGTGCTGGAGTTCATATTCAAGACCAGTCGATAATAGTCATTACGAATTTCAGGCGAAGGGAATTCGGAGAAGACAACGGCTTGCCTTGCTACTGATCCCTCTAGCGTGTATCACTCGATATCATCATCGGGGACAACTTGGAGGTGGGCCGCCGTGCCACCTGTGGCCTTCAAGTCGGTATACGCCTTGAAACATGTACGCACAAGTGTAGGATCATAAAAGCTAAACATACAAGTTGAAACGCACATCGACACCTTCGTACTTTGAAAGAGTCCGCTTGAGATCGCACTTGTGGAGGCTCATTGTAATGTCGCTCGATCTGACGGTGCGTGTCAAATCGAATTACACGAGCTTAGCAATGGTCGCGTCATCCATTGGTGCGGAAACTGATTCGACAATTTTAACAAAAGATTCTGGACGCCATTGCTGCCTTCAACAGAGCGCTTCGTCGTGTATTCGCCAAAAAAACCGCGGCGGACGAGTAGGTGTGCTGCCGACATCGCGACACAGACCATACGGGGAAGAGATACAGGTCCGGCTGCAGTTTCATAAAACGTAGAAGGAAGACGAACAGTCCACAGACATCGAAGGGCAGATCGGATTCGTAACATGCGGTATACGTATGGGGGAAAAAGGATTAAGTTCTCACGCCATCGACGCGCCTCGGCCAAAGCTCGGCGACACTCCGAACGACTCATTGACTCTAGACGAGCTGCCATTTCAAGTTTTTTTTTTTTTGACCTTAACCACAATTCCCTGGGCCAATTTCTAGGATGTTATTATAGGCTATTGGTATTCCCACCATGGCCCAAACGCTAAATCGGTTAACTTCATCCTAAAAAGGCGATGAACGCCTAGTTGCGTGTTCCACCTTCATTCACCAAAGGCTACCACTTCCCCTACGTAGTAATAATAGCTAACAAATTAGCTTAAAGGAATTACGACACTGGATGCTCATCCTAGTTGGTGGTCTGGAAAAGTGGCTGTTGGGGTCCTGGAGGGCAATGTACAAGGCTTAGCCCAAGCCCGAAAGCCGGGCAAGGCCAAGCCAAGCCAAGCCCTACAACACCGGGCCCGACATCAAAGCTCGGTGACCCTCGGAGAAAGCCCAAGCCCCGGATTGTCCAACTCGGGGAAGTTTAAAGGCGGAAAGGGACAGTATTCAGTAGGTATAATTACTAGATGATGGTACTACTCATGTGGTCCCACTGCTTGCGGTTTAATATTGAAACTCTGCGAGGTCTGATTTTTTCCCGAGTGTTGTTTGTCCAGTACCTGGATTCTTACTTTTTACCCACACCGACTGCGGAAAGTGATGTTACATAGATTACTAAATAAGTTACATTGAAATTTGCCGTGGTCATTGTGTTACTAGGAGTGTAGAAAATGTTGACTGAATGTCCGTATTATTGGCCGTGGTCATTGCTGTTCTCAGAAGACTTCGGGCCTTGCTCGCGGTGGCCCACTTCACTAAGTCACTCACAAGAAAATTGTAGTGGTTTTGATGCGCTCTCCAACTGAATTCAAGTCCCTTTGATCCTCTGGATCATGATTCTCCATGACCTTGGAATCTCGGTAAACATACATAGTGTAAGGCTCCGACTCGAACAACGGCAGATTTCAATGATGACGGCGATGTCATGAAACATTTAGAGCCGGGCGGGGTATTATTTGTGCCGCCTTGAAATGATAAAATTAACACTAAAATAGCTATGACTGGTACGGGACTTTGAAGACTGTATATATGAGTTAGAACTCACCTGTATACGCCCGCTACTGTGAGGAATGTATATCCTCCCAAAGGATCCCAGTAAGCGGCTTTCAAGTCATCGTTCGACGTCTCCGCGTTTGAAACCTGGATACAGACTCCTAGATGTAAGTGGAGCTAGGACATCGTCTGCTCTTCTTGCCTTTAATTCACTAGTACTTCCTGCGATTCGGTTCTTCTGCTTTCTAGCTCTACCGCGTGAAATTGTTTAGATCAGGGAGAGGGAGTAACCTGGGTGTCGTAGCGATGGCATACTGACCGCTACTTCATGTTCGAAGCGGCGGTGCAACACCTCTTCTTCCTTGCTACGTCCACCAGTAACTTAGCTGTCATTTTTTCCGATTCCCCCCCGTGCACATGGAAGATGTTTGGCCGCTATAGGAAATGCCCAGCATAACCAAACGGTCATCTTTAGCCGCAATGCAGCGCAGTTTTTTTGTTTGCCCACCTCTTCTCGATACCATGGCACGACTAACCATCACCATCCTCGTCTGCATAAATGTCATCCTCCTATCCGGGATGATATACCTTAACTTTCACAGTATTTTGGAACATCGTCCTGCTCTTCAGTATCGGTTGCAGCCACTGCGGGGTATATCAAAACCTGGACGACCATCTGAGTCCAAGTCGTACACGCAGGCAGACTTTGTACCCATGAGCGAAGAATACTCTCTGGCGCGAAGCACTGCGTGGGTTCCCTTGAGCTTAAGCGAGTGTACCTCTGGTATGCCAGCCCATTATGCGCTATGCGTAGCCCAAAGGTTGGAGCAGGACGTGGTCTACGCAGAAGAGCTTCTGTACTCATCTTTCAGGATTCGCCAGCCTTATTTCGCCTCGAACGCGTACAAGGAGCGGTGGGGAAACATCGCGATGGGAATCAAAGAGCGTGGGGTGCTACAGACTGACGGTTGGCTCGTGTATAAGGGGCAATCTGGACAAAACTTTGTGAGTGCACGTATTTCTGTGTAGGTAAGTACTTAGATATAGGTGTTTGAAAATGTTTCTTACAGACACTCGGGAGGCTATGATCGCTGGTCGGCAGAGTCGTGTATGTCAGACCTCGTTTCTTCGGACAGCCTCAAAACGTTTCACCCGCTTGAATTGCTGGGAAGATCCAACCCACCCACCATATATCGAAATGCAATGCTAGCCACCTCGCCCGACTCGTACTCCTTCCAGCACTATCTGGATCGTATCACTCACATTGTCGCTCAGGGCGTACATCTTATCGATGGTAGCGACCTCCCATATGTTATCACGGGACGACAAGGCGACCAGTTTGTGCAGCAGCTCTGGGAAAGACTGGGCTTCGATGATAAGCACGTCCTGCACAGCATAGACGCGGATATATATGCGGAGAATATGATCTTCTCGTGTCGGGCGGTCTTGGTCCATTCGTTTCTCTCGTTGAGGACGCTTGAGGCTTTTGGCATTGACTCGATGAAGGAGTCCTCAACCAGGGATAAGGTAGATGATTCCGTGTCGGTTTCTTGCCTGAGCGCTACTCACCCCGCCGAAATGACTAGATCATGTACATGACACGATCCAACGATCGTGCTAAGAATGGCGGACGCAGAGTACTCAACGAAACTGCGCTTCTCGATGCCATCCGTGTGTTGTTCAGAGAACGAGGCAAAGGCGAGGAAATCGTCATCTTTGATGAGACGCAATATAGTTCTGCGTCCGAACTCTTTGATTATTTCAACAAAAATGTCATGGCGGTTGTAGGCCCTCATGCATCATCACCACTGGGCAGCTCGGGGTACGCTTGTCATCGAGATGATGCCTACGACGTTCACGTCCGTGGCGATATACGAAGAAGCTCCGGTGCTTTCTCAGATCTATGCGGTGTTGGTCCCAGCTCCCCGGGAGGACGGGATATAATCATCGACCCTGAGGATGTGACGAAGCTTTTGAGGGAGCATTTGGGCGTGCCGATGAGGAAACCGCGTCATATGGGGTTCTTGGCAGTAGAGGAGACGGACCAGCAGAATGGTGATCACCTGGCAGAGGACCCATTGAGGGCTAGCTATCAGTGGGGAGGAAAGGAGCTTGGATTTTGACTGTAAATGATCGATCATAGCTCCGAACTACTTGCGTTTGTAGTAACCCAATCGGAACCTCAAATTGAGATGGAGTGCCGGAGTCCGGCGTGTGGTCTGAGATTCAACAATTTCAATAACTTTGTGAGCCGAAGCTCGGGAAGTTTCAAGCCGTCACAAGCCGCACCGACCCGGTACCATTCTGTGACTTTGGAAGCTACTCGGCAATAGCGGCCCGACTTAAGTCGAGTTGCTAGTCTGCTAGTCGATTTGGGTCGACTGACTCGAGTCCCTTGAC